TACCTTATGTTCTTTACCGCTTTTTGACAATGAACGAATACCTTATATTCATCTTTTTCAATTTCAATTCTGATTTTGACAAGAAGCATTTATAACAACTGGCATTATCCATTACCACAAGATTTTTGATTATAAATTATACCTAATGTTTTCTGCTGATTTTTTACAATGAATATTCTTCAACTCTAATTTGATAGTAAATAATCTTTGACATTGTCTGCTGATTTTTGGTGATTAATGAAGACTTACTTGACTTACATCATCCTTTTCAATCCTAATTACTTTAAGATAACTTCGAACATCAAGTTAATCATTTCTACAGATTTTGATAATAAATAATGCCCTTTTCAACCTAAATATTATGTAGATAACAATGTCTAATAACAATTGTTTCATGAATACACCCCACTGATTTTTGACAATGAAGGAATGTCATCTGCTCATCCTTTTCAACACAATTCTATTCTGGTGAATTAATTGTCTGTGATATCTGTCAGTGAAGTGATTGTTGGTGAAATGATATGTATCTGATTTGGCATCATAGATTGTTGCTTATTGTACTCCCAAACTGGTGTATGATACCTATGATTAGATTATTCAATTAAATGCAGAATTTTCATTAGGGGAGAGACAGAAATCACCTGATTTCTTAGAGAGGTAGGGGTTTGTAGGTTAATCAGGTTATATATTATAATAATTAAATTTAATTGGCTAATGTTTGAATAAGGTGGGGTGGGGGTATAGCCTCTTAGTAAATAGAAATCACCTGATTTCTGTCTCTCCTCTTACACACTATTCCAAATGATGTGCGATGATTGTGATTCGTACAATGATCATACTGATTGTAACGATTGTGATGAACATGAACTATAACTTGATCATGGTGTAAGTATTAGGTAATTATATAGTAATTGTAGGATCAAGCATAACTATAGATAAATAAATTAAAAGGTTAGCATTAGAAATGTAGTTATTCAAAAATATAAATAATACAAAATATAAACAACATGAAACATGAACAATGCAAATTATAAACAATATAAGATATGAACATGATTCACATTCTCTGCAATCATGTTTAGTTGTTTTTGTTTTGTTTCCATTTTTAATCAGCATTGTTTATCTATATTTATTTTGGATTGTTTATTTGTTTTGATAAAAAATTTCTTTACATATTTGTTTTAAGAAATTTTTATATAAAAAGGCATGAAAAATTCCCTGGTGAACTTCATAACATAAATACTACTTTTATATTAAAAAAGATATAATTAAATATTTTTAAATATAACTTTCATAATAATAAAAAATTAAAAACTTTTGCTTAATAAATATAATTTTTTTGTGGGCCAAAAAGAAGAATTTAACGCTTTCAACCTAAAGAAAACTTGAAGAAAATTTGAAGTAAAATTTTTTAAAAAGATAAGTTTATATTTATAAAATTTTAGTAGTTTTGAATTTTAATATATAAATATTATAAAATTATTTTTTTTATTTTAATATAAAATAGTAAACTCTAGGTTAAAAGTGTTTAAATTTTTTTAAATAATCACAAAAAAATTATTTCAAATAGTACTAGTTAAATTTTTTTTATATAAAAGTTATATTAAATATTTAAATTCTTTTTATAAATATGAATTTATATTTGGGTTGTCAATATAGCATGCCAGAAAACAGTCAATGATTTTTAATATAAGTTGCTTTTTTATAATATAATAATTAAGCCCAAAGATTTTTTCACTATATTAAAATCTCTTGTTATAATAGTGAACCTCTATATAGTAAACTTATAAAAAATAGTGAAAAATCTTAAGCTTAATAATTTAATTATAATTAAAGTAATAAATATTAAAAATCTTTAATAAGTTTACTATAAATAAAAAGTGGTTCACTATAACAAGAAATTTATTATAACAAGAGGTTCACTATAACAAGAGATTATTTTTTTAACAAAAAAAATTGATTGTTTTCTATTGATAGCATGTAACAATGACTGTTTTCTATTTATAGCATGCAATGACTGTTTTCTTATTAATAGCATGCAACGATTTTTTTATTAGTAGTGCAATTTTTACTATTCAATTTTTTTGCATGTAATACGCATGCAATATTGCCAAAATGCGCAGCTATTCCTTTATCTGTAAAACAAATTCCGTGCAGAAGTGCGCCAGTACAATTTTAGAAGATTGTACAACTGCACTGTTGCAAATAAAATTGTTAGTACGTTTGCCATTTTTTTTACGTTTTTTTTTATGTTTGACCATTGCATTGACGATAGTCATGCAATGGGTATTATCGTGAGGATGACCCATGATCTCTGATTTTGTGTAACCAGATTAGGTATTTTATGGTAAGTTGGTGGAAAGATAATCTTTAGTGCTTCTTTCTTTCACTGCCCGATTATTATCTTGCTTTATAGTGTCTAGCGTTTGTCGTGGTTGCTATAATGACTGATTCAAATATATCAAAAAACGATTTTTCAGACATTTGCCATAGTTTAGGCATGTCAACCGAAGGAAATAAAGCAGACCTTGTGCAGAGGTTAAAGGAATTTCAAGCGTATGGACACTATGAGAAAAGTGTGGATGAAATGAGACCCATAAATAATAAGTTGCAAGAGGATGCCGATGTTGAATCGGTAATATCTGATTATCATACCGAAAATATTGAAGTACAAAACCCTGAAACACAAAGGTTGCGAGAATTGCTTAGAAAAGCAAACTATCCATCCAATGATATGTCATCATCGTTCCTCTCGCAAGATACAGAGGAAACATCTGACCACCCACTGCAAACAAGCAAGCATCGAAAAAACAGAAGTTGCAGACTAAGGAGGAAGACCCCGACTCAATGTTTGAGAAAGTCCTGACAAATTTTCAGAAGCTGGAAAACGCCATGTTAAGCATTGATGAAAAGTTGAACTCAATGGCTTACCAGGTCCAAGAAACTCATAACAAAGCTGACATTAAGGAAGCCTGGCCTAAACATAAATTTGAGAAATAGCATGACCCACATGAGTGTGACACACTACGTTAAACTGGAAGGGAACTTGACCTAGCCATAGATTCTGAAACCATGGGGGATATAACAAGCCATATCAATGTCGCAAAAGACCTTGTGGGAAATAGGATGTTTACCCTGAGAGTAGCCGAAGGGTTTGGTTGTGACATTGCCTCAGCCTTACCTGACACCCAAGATGATTGGTTAAAAGGGAAGGACAACCTAATTGAAAAGGCAAAAGCATTAGCTGACGTAAAAAAGACCAAAAAACAAAAGCTTTACGGTCCGACTAAGTCATCCAGTTATAGGCGTTGGGGATATAATTACCAAAGTGGTAATCAAACGAGCTACAAGAGTGGCTATCAAGATGGCCCTCAAAATAATAGATTTTTTCGTCAAAACTACCAACCCTACGATAACGCATATTCATCCTTCAAAAAATACTACATCTGTAGCGGCCTTGGTCACTTCGCAAAAACCTATCCTTCAGACCCGAGTAAAGTCTCAACTCAACAGGACTATCGTACTGGATACAAATCAAAAGGATACACAGCCTATAAAGGCCAATATAACAAACTACCGGACCACTCTAGATATGACTGACTACGCCCGGGCCCAACAGAAATTACAAATAACAAGACGTATTCATTTGGAGGAACATGTACTTTACTAGATAGAAAAAATCAAAGCCTCGGACCTAGTTATCAAATGGTTGAAAGAAGGCATCCCATTATTTTCAAAAGGCCTATTAGAACTAACAAACAACCAGATCCACTACAATACCCCTTATAAAAGGATCAAATTGCCTGGGTAGACTTAGAAATAAAAAGATTAATGAAAGAAGAGGCGATTTCTCTAGTAGCAGTCTCAATAAATCGACCCCCTTATTTGCTGGAAGTAAGTCCTATATTTTTGGTTCCAAAAGCGGGGCCGAAAAAATGGCGGTTAATTATAGACCTCTGGCGCGTGAACAAGACGTTACCTGTAAAACCGTTCAAATTCGAAGGATTTGGAACCTTCCTTCGTATGATAGAAAAAAATTAGTGGATAATTGTGCTAGATTTAAAGGATGGCTACCACCATATACTAATGGACAATATAGCTTAAAGATTATTAGGTTTCAGAATAGCAGCAAACTGGTACTATTACAAAGTGTTACCTTTCAGTTTAAGCCAGGCGGTGTGGATATTTTCAAAGGTCATACATGCTGTAATAGGACATTGGAGGTCACAGAGCATAGTCTGTAGAAACCACGTGGACGACATATGGGTCGCACACCCATGTCGGGAAACGTTATTATGTATAAGAGACTCAGTTGTGTTAAAGGACTTAAGAGATTGTGGTTTCGTTTTAGCAGAAAAAGGATACTTAAACCCCACCCAAAATGTAAAATACCTTGGGATGATGTTGGACATGATAACAGGAATAGTACAGCACCAAATACAAAGATAAACGACGCAATTCATTGTCTACAAAATGTTTTGTCCAAAAAACTTCTGACCGCCTGGCACCTCTCTTCTGTTACGGAAAAGTTGATGAGCCTAAGCTGCACATTCAAGTTTGCAAAGGTCCGATGCTTGGAACTGTATGCAATAATAGACGCAGAATGCAGAGAACCCTGGAAATGGGACTGTGCAGTCCAGTTGTCACATCAAGCAGTAACAGACATAAATTGGGTAATAAGGAATTTGAAAGGAACAAATGGAAGTCCGGCATGGAAACCATCACAAGTAATTCTGGTATACGTGGATGCGTCCACGACTGGTTGGTCAGCAACCTTGGGGACAAGGAAAGCCTTCGGGAACTGGGACCACCATCACAAACATACGGATATCGCGGTTCTCGAGACATTGGCAACCTTGTTGGGTTTGGAGTCATTTGCCCTGATTATTTCACACCACTACGTGACAGTCCTTATAGACAACTGCGTGGCCAGAAAAACAGTAGAATCTGGTGGAAAAAGGCCGTGGCAGAAAGAATTGATGCGTGAGGTATGGAACTTCTGCAACCAGTACGATATCAAAATCCACGAATTCCAGTGGGTTCCGTCAGAACTAAACCTGGCAGACGAATTGACGAGAATGTATGACGAATCAGATTGGTCACTAAACCAAGTGTTGTTCGACTTGTTAAACGAAAAATGGGGACCTTTTACCATAGACCAAATAGCAAGTTACTGGCAAGGAAATTAAAATGTTTCAACAGCCGCTTCTATTGTCCAAAATCAGAAGCAGTCGATTGCTTCACCCAGGATTGGAGCAACAGACCAACTACGTCTGCCCCCTTTGAGTTTAATTCACAGAGTCTTAGAACACGGTCAACAGTCCAAGACCTTGGTAGTACTAATCACCCCGATTTGGGTCTCGGCCCCCTGGTAGCCGCTCCTACTTCAGCAACAAACCGAATCTTTAAACTTACCTCCAGCAACGCAAAGTTTCTTACCATGCCAAGGAGGAAACCTAGTACCAGAACCATGGAAAAACCCACTCTGGCAGTTTCAGGCCGTGAAAATATCTTTCTAGATTCTTTACTATCAAAAGCACAAAAACTCTTATTACCTAAATCCGCGTTTGAGAAGCCCTTACAGAGTTTATGGAATGAGTTTAAAAATTTTTGTGAAATCCATAGCCTGACCCCCTGCCCAGCAGAACCAAACACAGTCATAACCTTTTTAACATGGATAGACTTACTATCGAGGTCATCAAAACCCGCTTCTATCTAATAGCCATCAGTCGTTACCACCTGAGACTAGGATTGGAGGACCCAACCTTGAATTTTAATATAAAAAGCCTAGTTAGGACCTTGACCAAACTTGCAGCAAATAAAAAAGAAGCGACCTGACCACATGACCCTCTACTAGTTGAAGCCCTAAAATATTACGTAGACAACCCGCCCCCAAATACCTTGCGTCTAATCTGGAAAAGGAATTGTGCTATGATAGCACTGGGCTTGCGAACGATGAGACGTTCTGCGGAGTTATGTAATCTAAAGGTGGGAGATTTAAAGATGCTTGAAGGAGCGTGTTGGATCAGAATCAATAGATCAAAAATGGACCAATTCGCCAAAGAGAAATTTGTACTGGTAAACCCTATGAATTCACCATACTGTCCGGTTAGATTAATTTACGAGTATCTGAGAATGAGAGGTGATATGAAAGATAGTGATTGGTTATTTGTAAATATATTAGGGAAACATATGACAATGGGGACAGTAAGTTCAGTAGTTAAGAAAATAGCTCACCACGCAAATTTGGAAGGTAAGTATTCAGGTCATAGTGTGCGTATTGGCGGCACCACAGAAGCAATGAAGGCAGGATTGTCATTGCCTCAGATTATGAGTATTGGAGGGTGGTTATCTCAATCGGTAGCGCTTTATCTTAGGTCTTTTTCGACTGTACTACAGAGTACCTCAGAGAAGATGGGGTTCTAAAAAAAAAAAAAAAAAAGAGAAAAGGCAATTTTGATGAAATGAGTAACTTTAGTTCACCACCGATCCTCTTTGTCTCCCATGATGTTTCTTCTTAATAAAGTTTCCGAGCGAGAATAATGACCTATTGTATTGACGATAGTCATGCAACGGGTATTATCGTGAGGATGTCCCATGATCTCTGATTTTGTGTAACCAGATTAGGTATTTTATGGTAAGTTGGTGGAAAGATAATCTTTAGTGCTTCTTTCTTTCACTGCCCAATTATTATCTGGCTTTATAGTGTCTAACCCACCCCCCACTCCCGCGAAAGCCTATAGCTTGTGAGTCTAAATGACTAAGGATCGCTGCACCTTGCGTGAGCATCCACCCTTGTGATCGCTGCACCTTCACGTGAGCATCCACCTTTGTGATCGCTGCACCTTCGCATGGGCATCACTTAAAGTGAATAGTAAGAGGGACTAAGGATCGCTGCACCTTCGTGTGAGCATCCACCTTTGTGATCGCTACACCTTTGCGTGGGCATCACTTAAAGTGAATAGTAAGAGGGACCAAGGATCGCTGCATCATCTAATGTTTTTGCAGTGTATTTAGGGCACTTTGTCTCATGCGGGCACCAAAAAAAAAAAAAAAAAAAAAAAAAAGAGAAGTAACAATAATGTGAATGAAATGAAAAATTGCGAGATGTAAATTATGAATGTAGTTGTAAATTAATGAATACATGTTGTATATAGCATAACTTCCCCTTTATCAACCACGATTTGCTTTTCGATACTCCTGTACTTTCGTCACGTGACTCACGTGATTTGCAGCGGAGAGCACTACTCCCATGATGTTTCTTCTTAATAAAGTTTCCGAGCGAGGATAATTTTTTTATCGCAGTTTGCATATTGATGTAACCTTGATAAAATTTGTAGATCGCTGCATGCCGATTGTTCGATTGCAATCGATTGTATGTGATTGTAGCGATTTCTCAGCAACCATCTGATCAAATTCGATGAATTTTTTTTTTATTTGAATTTTATGAATCTGTAGAATTAAATAAAAAAAATTCATCGAATTTGATCAGGTGGTTGCTGAGATATCATCGCTCAAAGTTTTTGTTTTAAAAATGTCAATGTTTATCAACAATAGAAGCTGCGCCAAATTTTTCCTGGAACTTTGAGCGAAGAATCTCAGCAACTATTAGATCAAATTCAATGATTTTTTTTTATTTGAATTCTATCAATCCATAGAATTCAAATAAAAAAAAATTTCATCGAATTTGATCAGGTGGTTGTTGAAATGTCTTCGCTCAAAGTTTTTTTTAAAAAAAACTTTGAGCGAAGAATCTCAGCAACTATTAGATCAAATTCAATGATTTTTTTTCTATTTGAATTCTATGGATTAATAGAATTCAAATAAAAAAAAAAATCATTGAATTTGATGGTAGTTGCTGAGATT